CTGTTTTTTTCTCATTGTTGAAGGTGGTACGGTTGCCTATATATAATTGCTTACATCCACTTCATTTGAACTTTGGGGATAGTTGTCACATTGGCAATCATACCACATCTCCTTATTAAAATGTTGAGGGGGAGGGGGGGTGAAATTTGTATTTCTTAGGAAAGTTCCAATGTTTTCCTCCCAGGTCACCCAGTCTTAATTGGATATTTTCTCATTTTGCTGTGCCCTTGGATTTGTGTTTAAGGCCAACCAGAGCTTACTGCCTGTTGGTGGGTAGTTGAAGGCCATATGGTAAGCTCTAGGTGTCTTTTTGTGTATTGTATATGTTGATTTGGTGATGTCTTCATGCTATTGTCCCACTACTTTATATAGACAGCTTATCAGTCAACCATATCTATCAAAGACGACAAATGATGGCCAAAGCTCTCCTGACCTTTTGTATAGTCAGGCGAGAAACAAGATATAAACGGACTTGGCTTAGTATAAACATGTATATTTAGTAAATTGGTATAAATTCAAGTCAAATTAATATGTCAAAACAACATAAAAATATAAAAGTGTAAAAAAAAATTTTTTTTAATAAATCTTGAAAATATCATTGTGTTTGTTTGTGTGTGGCCATGGATAAAGGCATGTTTTTCAGTCTGGGTTAAAAAAAATTATTGACTTCGGGTACAAATCCCTGCCCCACCCCAGAGAATCAAATGGTTGCTTCCTTGGGAACAATAGATATTGAAGATGTTGAGAATGAAGATCAGGTAATAATTTTATGTTCTGCGGCGACGTTAAAGGAACACCAATCAGTCAATCGATCTTTATGACTAGGGCTTCAGTTGTGTAATATTCCTTGCTGTAAAAGTTCCTTTTCTGCTTTGTGTAGACTTATTAAGACTTGGAATAGATCTACGATGACTAATGAACGGTCGTGTATGGTTTGGCAATTTTACATGCCTACCGATAATAAAATTGACAATGGAAATGGGGAATATGTCAAAGAGACAACAACCCGACCAAAGAGCAAACAACAGCCGATGTCAAGATATGATACGATGCTACCGGACATAGAAAAAACTGTCCTTTTTTCATGGAAAATTAAACTGTTACAGTATATTAAAGAATACAAAACTATCTCTCTTTTCTGTAAATACAAATAAAAAGCTGACATGGGTGAGATTAAAGCTAGAAATCCCAATCTCCCAATTCACTTAAAAAGACCATATATAGATATAAGATGATGTGGTTTGAGTGCCAATGAGACATTTCTCTATCCAAGTCACAATTTGTAAAAGAAATACCATTGTAGGTCAATGTACGATCTTCAACACGGAGCCTTGGCTCACTACAAACAGCAAGCTACAAAGGGCCCCAGAATGACCAGTGCAAAACCATTCAAACGGGAAAACTATGCAACGGTATAATCTATATAATAAACAAGAAACGAGAACACTTATGAACCACATCAACAAACGGCAACTACTGAACATCAGGTTCCTGACTTAGAACAGGTGCAAACAAATGCAGCGGGTTTAAACGTTTTAATAGGTACCAAATTCACTCTTATCCGAAACAATAATTTAACATATGACCTTTAATATTGAAGGACTAAACTTGCATTGAGCCGTGTTTAGGCCCTAAAATAGAAAATAAAGAGATGTGCATGGAACAAAATCGCACACAATACATAGACAAAAATACAAATTATCAATGAACAGGGCTTTTATTCCTGTTCTTCATCTTGAAAGTAGCTGGAGGGTCTTCAACGAGGAAAAGAACCATTCATACCCTGAAAACAACAGCCACACACTTGGCTATGTGGATTACAATGTTTTGCTTTATTCTATACCTTGATTTTTTCTCCAGAAGACCTCAGGTACCCAATTTACCTTTGCATCTAGTGCGGACAAAAGTATTGCCGTAGATTTTTTTTATTAACTTTTCGGTAATGGTGTGGTAGGGTGGGTAGCTGAGGTCTACTTGAGAAAAAATCAGAGTGATGTTCGGCTTAGTCTTTTTTTATAATGTAATAAGCTGGCAAATTATGAAAGCTCATGTCTTAATTGATAGGCATAGAAATAAAAAGAAAACGTATGAAAACCAATAACATTCTACCGGAGACAAAATAACGTTGGTTTAGGCAACTAGTATGATGGTTTGGATGCGTATTTCTTCATTTCTGTATTCTTTGATATTCTATGCCGATTTTCTCTATTCTTTAATCAGTGTTTCAGACCATTTTTCTCTATTCTTTATTTCTTTATACTTTTTGCCAATTATTCTGTTCTCTTTATATTTCAACACCTCATTATTCAATTTTTTTTTATTTCTTGGTCCATTGTCTCTATTATTCATATTTTTTGCCCACTATTCTCTATTCCGTAAACCCCCATCCACACCCAGGTTCTAGTTAAGGTCACCATATAGATTTCAAAAATAAGCAAAACTAATACCGAGTAGGCTCCGAATGGCAAAATGATTGAATGCTAATCCCGGTTTGAATTGTGAAATTGCGGAAATTTGTTTTTCAATCAATTGATCAAGCAAAACACATTATCGTCCTGAATGTTCGTATAATGGACCTTGGTCATGAATTCTAATCATCTGAGATCAACCTTTCTAAATTTAAAAGTAAAGATCACGCACCCTTATTGTTCAGATTGATAAAGTCTTTTGCATCCGTCGACATTATCTTCGATTAAAGATCTGACAGTGACTGTGCATGTATACTTTAACGACCGGGGTAGTTTTCTTATAAGTTTTAAAAAGTAGTAACCTCCCTTGTTAATGTGATGTTGTAATCAATCTATTTATTTGTACCATCTTTATATAATATTGTATTGTACAATTTAAATTTATGATTTGTTTAATATTTAAATATAATAATTTATTTTTTATTAAAGATATAAACAAGGTAATTTGAAAGGCTTTGATTCATTTATCACCGTAGTTCAATTCATAAGTCAGGCGGTCTATTTTGTCTACATTATGTTGAAAGAACACAGGGGTGTTTACATTGGCATTATTTACTATCAATGACTGTGAAACAAGAAAGGAAAACATTGTACATTATAAAACGAGAAATAATTAAAATTAAATACAAAATTCTTGTTTAGTGAAATCAAAAACGAAAAACGGAAACACTTTTGATTTTCATTTTGGTTTTAGAGAAATCAAAAACAAAAAATGAAAACACTTTCGTTTTCCGTTTTGGTTTTAGAGAAATTAAATACGAAAAATGAAAACACTTTTGTTTTTCGTTTTGGTTTTTGAGAAATCAAAAACGAAAAATGAAAACACTCTCGTTTTTTGTTTTTTGTTTTTGATATTTTAAAATGAAAAACGAATGGACGCAAATATACACGGACCGTGATTTTGGTTGAATCTGAATGTTTTCTTATGACCTATGACTCCTAAATGAGTGTTTTGAAAATGAGTTAACTATTGTGGCATCTGATTTACTGTTTTGGTGCTTTATTGTGTAGAGGTATATACGACACACCAAAAAAGTATATCAGTTTGTTTTTGCCTTTATATGCTCCTCTCCTGCATTTGAACGATATTTGAACTTGTGTCAAGAAAAACTGAAAATGTAAACGCTTTCTGAAGTTTATCTAAATGCAGTGTTTAAATGTTGCTAAGTGGTGACTATCATGTCTCAATATAGGAAAAGTATGTGCCGATAAAAGAGGGACGAAAGATACCAGAGGGACAGTCAAACTCACAAATCGAAAAAAACTGACAACGCCATGGCCAAAAACAAAAAGACAAACAGATAAACAACAGTACAGATGACACAACATAGAAAACTAAAGACTAAGCAACACGAACCCCACCAAAAACTGGGGTGATCTCAGGTGCTCCGGAAGGGTAAGCAGATCCTGCTCCACATGTGGCACCCGTCGTGTTGCTTATGTTATCACAAATCCGGTAAATAGTCTAATTCGGTAGGTCACATTCGTGAAAAGGGAAGGGTATTGTAGTTACGACATAAGGAACATATCCGATATCATCTGTGAAACGGTTATTCCATAATGGTCAACCAACTTGTGATGGCGTCCTTTAAATTTACGAAGGGATGACTTCAACTTCACCATTTGGAACTCTTGGATTATTAGCTTCCTTGTAAGCAGCAATCCTCTATCAAGGAAATCATGATAGGAAATACAAGCCCGGGAATATCGTATCAAATGGGAGATATATACTCCGTATGCAGGCGCTGCCGGAATGTTGCTACATAGAAATGGAAAGTTCACAATTGGGAAGCTGAAATCATCTCTTTTGTCGTAAAGTTTTGTTTTCAACCGACCCTCATTGTCAATTTCTAGATGTAAGTCAAGATATGAGGCAGACTTAACTGTATCTGTAGTATCCTTTATCTCTAGTTCAATGGGATAGATTCGTTCAACATAGTCACCAAATTTTGTATTATTTAGTGAGAGAACATCATTTATATAGCGGAACGTAAAGTTAAAGGATATTGCTAACTTCTTATCTTTCTTCCTAAGAAGTTCCTGTATGAAGTCAGCCTCATAATAATAAAGAAACAAGTCGGCAAGAAGAGGGCACAATTGGTTCCCATAGGAATTCCGACAGTCTGTTCAAAAACACGTCCTCCAAACGTAACAAATATGTTGTCAATCAAGAAATCAAGCATCTTGATAATGCCAGTTTCAGAGAATTTTTTGTTTGAATCAGAGTGATTCTTTACAAAGTAGAATAACATGTTCATTGAGATAATACAGGCTCCACTAAAAAATAAAAACGAAAATTGATACAGGTGAAACAAGGGAGTATGAGATAGGTTACATTATGAACATTGCACACTACTCTATTCTATTAGTTTTTTTTTTTTTAATATTAAATTTACTTTATTCTATTAGGTTTTGTTTTACTTGAAAATCGATTTGTTTTTTATCCTATGTTTTGTTTAAACCACATTTAAATCATGAGCACACATTACAATATAAGTTCAAGGAAGTATATCAAGTATTTATAGAAACACAGTAATATGGGAAAACCACACTGAAAATTATTGTTTAAAGAAAAGATTACTTTATACGAATTATGATGTTTAAACCTATTTGCCATAATGTAATAAAAGGAAACAGTTTAAATGTATATGTATCATTTCAATGCAGTTCTTACGTATTACACAACTATGAACACATAAAGATAATTAATTATCTTATTTGAAATCTACACAATACAGGAAACAAGGCCGTTTATATAAAGGTGTTGAAACTATGGGATAGTATTAAGTTATTCAATTACTTCAAAGGTAGGTGCTATTATATTTTAATTTCTGGATAATGATGATATGCAAATAAGTACCCTAACAATACATTTAATACATTCTTCCTACTTAAGGAATATGCAATTATGGGAATATATTAGTAATAAATCCGACAAGCAAGGAAAAAATAACCAAAACTAATGAAATAAACGGATAAATTGGGTTATCACTTAACAAAACACAAACAAAGTTAGAAAATAAAACACAGGAAATCAAAACAATACTAACAAACAATAAGAAAGGAAAGCGTTGTAAGATTTGTAGTAAAGACACAAGTTGGGCTTCAACAGAACAAGCAAAATATATTTTAGGAACCTTTATATACAAAGGTAATTGTTGCAAAATAGCGCAACTTATGTTTGAAATAATGTGTTATTTACATAGAGGCAGTATTCGAAAAAATATTGGTTTGTGATGGCTTTTGTTTTGAGTTTTGTAAAGTAAGTGTAGTCTGTTTATGTCATCATCAATACACCATATATGTACTTTTCCATTAAATGATTGTCCCTTGTTGTTGTTACATTGTGTATGTATTAGATATCGCAACAAGTTTGACGGTACAAAAGTATCAAAACAATAATTATCATGGACCAATATTAGCTTTATTTTTAACATATATATATATATATATATATATATGTATAAACAACATTTTCCAAAAGACCAAAAAGTGAAAAAGTATATTTTAACAAAACGCATTTGACTAACAGGTCGAACAACTGATGTTCTTATGACTCTGACTGCCATGGCGATTGCCAAATAAACGTATTACAAGATGTAACAAAATGGATCTTAATATAAATTTAATACCAAACAACAGAAAACAATAAACTTGCGGAAAAGATAGTATACCGCAAACATGAGGTGCAAAAATTTGTACACCATATCTAGATTTCGACAATTAATGTCTCTTCAGTGATGTTAGGAATCGAAACGGTATTTGTAGGACATATAATTTACCTCAATTAAGGATAGACTCTTGAATTTTGAAGAGTCAAAATAGGATGAACGGATCATATAAACCCAAAGGAAAATATAATACAAGCCCAAACGAAAAATATAAACAAGTCTAAATTGAAAACAACATTCAAACCTATGATTGCGTTGGATAAAAACCGCAATTTTTATACGTGTGCATGCAAAACACATTTCTTGGTAGAGGGGTCTAAATACAGAACAAACAACATTTACCAAAAGACCAAAAAGTTAAAAAGTATATCTTAACAAAACGCATTGGAAAATGTTGTTTGTGTTGTATATTTGACACATATTTAATCTGTCAAAAGGCAACAACTGAAAAAAAAACATTTAAATGATATGTTGCATGTGTGTGTGTTTACAATACTGATTAGAATATGTACAAGTCTATGTACTTAATTGACTGATAAATAATTATGCTTTGAGTTAAAAAGCACATCAAAAAATGTGTGTTGTTTCTGATATTGGTTTTCAGTGTATGTATTCAACCAACAGCTGTAGGACATAATTAGCTATCGGTAGCTTCCTTTAATAGCTAGCACATTATGACTTTGCCCTTTTAAATAATGTGTAGTCATCCTATTGGCATTTTGGTTGTTCAGGTTTGTTTGAGGTCTACGCCTAAATAGGGAAAGGGGAGGTTTGTGAGTACGTTAAGCTTCTTAATGGATAAATGAGATTTGAACATCGGTTAACTTTTTTTTAAATTCTATTGCCTTAATTTTACCATACCGGATTTTGTGCCTGTACGAAATCTGGCTATTTGGACCATGTGTTATTCGTTGTTGTGGTTCAAAGATTAAAATTTTCTTGGTTGATATAGTTAAAATGTTCAATATATTTGGTAGTTCCTGTCTAACTGTTTTAACGTATTATAGATCATAACATCGCTAGTTATGCCTGGAGACATCATTTTTATATATTTGTTTTTAATTTCCTTACTTTTTATATGAATAACGTTGCGAATGTTTACTACATGTTCCAAAATTCGAATTAAACGAAACAAGATCGTTCGAATCTTAAGCAAAAGAAACTTATTTATCATACATGTCAAAGCAACTTCATTGTTAACATCAGTGTTTAATTTCAGATGGACTCAATAATGGACGCCGTCCAGGAAATGAATAGGCAACAGACAACTGTATGGCAACGTCTAAATTCAAAAACGTAGGTAACATTATATATCGTACGGAAATGAGACATTTTAGTTATCAACCTTAATCGTAAGATTACTAAAACAGGTTTAAAGGTAAACATGCTGCGACTAGATAAATCGATATATTTAGACTTGTTACAAAATTCAGATCACAAGTGTTTATAAAAATATTTGGTGTTATTCGAGCTGCTTCATTTTTTAGTTATCTGTGTTGTGTTTATGTGGACAATTGTTCTTATTTCATTTTCTTTTACCATTGAGATGAGCAGCTCTTGTATAAAGTAAAATAGCAAAAATACCGAACTCATAGGAAAATTCAAAACGGAAAGTCCTTTATCAACTGGCATCTTCTTGTTTTAATAAGAAATGAAAATACTGCCATGTTGATTATCAAAGCCAAAAGTGTTTAAATGTAAGCTATAACTACATTCTGAACACTAATTTCTAATTTACGGAGTAACTATACTGATAATTTATCATAAACAATACGACGGGTGCCAATAGTGTAGCAGAATAATTCCAGAGCACCTGAGATCGCCCCCAGTTTTTCGCGGGGTTTATGTTGCTTAGAGTCTTAAGTTTTATATGTAGCGTTTTGTTAACGTCTTTGTCTTTTATTCGTTTTTCGTTTTTTCCATGGTAATGTCAGTTTATCTCGAGGTATGACTTTTGAATGTCCCCTTGGTATCATCCGCTTTTTTTAAATACACCATATGCACGATTCGTCTATTTATTGCGCTCAAATCAAAACTGTTTGAAAGCAAACCAAAAACAAATTTTAGCAGTTCTTAAAGCCCTAAATTCCAAAACTTTGAGCCAAATACTAGTATGGATAAGGCCATCTATGAATGAAATCAATTGATTTTCTAAATTTTTAACAACAAATGTATAGAAAATGAATGCATCTTGGGCATTTCATTCAGCACCGGGGCAAATATTACTTACTTGCTGATACCATCAACGACAAATCATACATCAGTACTAGTATCAATCCATTGATCATTACTGTTTGAAGATTAAATACCTGAAATTAGTTTGCACATAGAGATGGATGACATTTATGGTCTATCAAATCTACTCTGTTCCTTTTTGAAGTAATAATGGTCTATTTTCGTTTCAGCTTAGTTGAGAATTCCAAGCAAACCATCAGACGACTGGAAAGTAAGTCGTGAAGGTTTATTCTCTTATGGTTGTGGCCTGTATCTATTTCTTGCATGGAGAGATATTTCTCGTATCACACTGTACGGAGTGTGATACAAAAACGTGATACGATAAATGCGTTAATTTGATTGGCTTATCCACCATCATGAGACGATATTACGACATTTCCATTGGATATTCGTAAGGTCATTGATGACTTGCAAAGGTTAAGATGATGTACATTTCGTCCATAGCGACGGACATATATGGAACGCCACAGCTGTCTTATGTGGAACTCTTATATTACGTTATGTTGTTTTATTATTACTTGATGATATGTTGTCTTTACATAATGATGTTTTGATATAACTCAATATGGCATAATCATTACTTAATGATATTTCAATATTTCACTATATGGTTTCGTATTGACTTGATATACTTTTATCATTACTTGATATGGTTTTGTCATTAATCAATGTGGCTTTGTCATTAGTCGATGTGGTTTCACCTTTATTTAATGTGGTTGTTACATTAGGCAATGTGGTTTTAACATTTCTTGATGTGTATGTGACTTAACGTAATGTAGTTGTTTCATTACATGATAGGGTTTTATTGTTTCGTAATGATGATTTGCCAATTCTGTATATGGTTTTAACATTACGTAATGATGTTTTAAATTTTGACGATTTGACACTTCATGATGTGTTTGTTTCAGTATTTGATGTGGTCCTTTCATTCTTTGATGTGGTTATCACATTACGTGGTGGAGGTAAAACCATGTGACCATTTCAGAAAAACTAGTTCTATTTTTTAACCGGTTTCACTATGTCGTTTGTTTAATGTCCTTTGAATGAGTTTCGCCATCCATTGAGTTCAAGTTCAAATTAAAGTTCGACTTGTTGTTCAGAGTTATTTGTTATGAAAAAGGGGAACGGCAGACAAAAATAAGAAAAAAGTACTAAACAATTTACAGTCTTTCGGCCACACGGGGGATATCCCTAAACAATTTGGTCCTGCCGTTTTTTTTTCTTTCTTAGTTCTCAAATGGAAGCAGTATATATAATAATTCGTGAAAGATTCCACGGAATTCTCGTCTCGCCTGCTGCTGTCAGTGTAAAAGCGTAATGTTGACTGTACATTTATTTGTACATTTATCGGTTAATACAAAATTAAAAAAAGAAATGTTTTTCTGTAGATGCTTTATCTTGATCTTGAAGAATAACTCCTATACAAGTTTTATACTAATCAATTGAGTTTTTCAAATTTATCATACCAAAACAGTCTAATTCGGTAATATTTAATGCAAAAAAAAAACCTATATAGAAATAAGAAAATGTGGTATGATTGCCAATGAGACAATTCTCAACCAAATATTTACCACATGACGTAGAAGTTTTAAACAACTATATTTGACTGTATAGTCTTCAACAATGAGCAAAACCCATACCACATAGTATGCTATAAAATGAAAAATGTAAAAACAATTTAAACGAGAAACCTGACAATCTAAATGATGAAGACACCGACGCAACTAACCACAACGAATTATAAGTTTGTTGTGTCTCACTGCCGCTACATTAATGTCCCAGGTTCAACACAAAAATCAAAAGACTTGTACTTTATTGTCGGCAATGAGACACTTTAAATCAACTCACACTAAAGTTACAGGGAAATGGGGGGATCGGAATAAGCGACAAACATCAATTCTATAAAATATGAATTCTTTTATTTTTTTTAGCGTGTATAATTATTTGAAAATATACGAATATCAATCTGAATAAGACAGCTGTGGCGTTCCATAGACATATGTGATTTCTTCAATAATATACAAAACACTCACACTTTTAACCTTAAAATATTTTTTTTGACAAATTTTATTACATTATGAAGCGTTAAAAGTGTTAAGATGGCTGATGTTAAAGTTTGACGCCGGAACAGGACATTTGATGTCATACTGATATGTGCAAAAGACTAGATCAACGATTCGCGGATTTTTTAATTCAGTAACACAAAAAGAGTGTTGATCATAAGAGAAATAGGTTTAACAACTCGTGAGAATTGGATATCGCCGAAGGCGCGTTTATTATTATATTGAAATCACTCGTTATGAAACCTATAAGTTTTGTATACACATTATACATGTGTTTGATCGAATATGGTTCTAATAATTTGGCTGTATATTAACGTCATTTAATTATTCTGCATCTCACATGTAACACCACTTTTTTATCGAATTATGTATGTCGTCAATTCCACGGTCGGGTGCATAAACAATAACGTTGCGCAATCAACGTCGACTTTTGCGGGATATTTTAAATGTTTTATTCTGAAAAATGTATTGCGTTTTAACAGCAATATCAGTAATGTGTTTTAAAAACGTATTAACAAAATTACCGAACTCCAAGGTAAATTCAAAAATTGGGAAGTCCATAATGGAAACCAACTGTCATATACCTGACTAGGTACGGGCATTTTCCGAAGAAAATTCTTGGTAAAACTTGGTTTTATAGCTTTTAAGAGTCGGTAGCACATACTTTGAATATGGAATACCGCATTTTAGTTGGAAGTTATGAGAAGTTTTATTTAAAACAAAGACATATTATCATATTTATATTAAGCTTTAAGAATATTGAAAAAAAACAACATAAAATGCCAACTAAATTTGAAGAATAATCTATATAAAGTTGTAAACATGTATAATTGTGTGTTGTGACATATTTTACAGATCTGGAAGAACATGTACAAAACTTAGAGACACAGTGCAATAACAATTCTACCAAACTTACCGATATTAATCTACTAGTTCATTCTTTGTTAGAAATGGTAAATAAATTCGCTGTTGCAGTGGAAAACCTTCAAGATAACAAAACCTCAGAAAAGATAAGCGATTTATTAAATACAGCAAATAAAAGTGATAATCCAAATATCAATCATGCTTCAACTACTTCTTTACAAAGCATCAGAATACCCCCAACGACCCGTATTGAGCTTAATTCTGAAGACAAAGATGAAAACAGTAAGAATGTCAAAATAGATCAGCATATTCATAATATGGATTCAACACACACAATAAACTCCGACAAATATAAGACAATGTGTCCATATAAAACAGATTTATCGTTAGATGTTTACAACGTGTCATTTTGTAGAGATTTTCCGAAAAATAGCCATAAAGATGATAGTGACTTTATAACTGATGCTGAAGAACCTCTTTGCAGAACTGACAATAATGATAAATTTGCATGTAATGAAGAAGAAAATCTAATACACAAAAACATAAGTATTCAGGCTATTGACAACAGACAGCTTTTAACAAGCAACATGAATATACAAAAACCGAATAAGAGGTGCACGAAAAATAAATTTGGATATAAATGTACACGTTTAGATTTACAAAGTGATAACCGTCTTAGCTTTCATAACAGTTTAGAAAGTTTTGAGGGTAACGTTTTTTCATCTCCCGTTTTTCGAGTTCCAGTGGAATTGTCACCAGTACCTAACATTAAACAAAATGAAACAACACACATTGCCATGTCACTGAATAGGTAGGTCATAAATACATATTGTATGTATCTGTCCACTGTTTAGTTCTGTGTTTTATTTTCATTTGGTGTTTATTCATTTATAAATAAAATGTCCTAGTATAAATGGAGCCAAGACAAATTTGCAAGATTAAAAAACTGTTTTATACTTCAGTTTTGCATCATTTTCAAGCAGCACTGACAAACAAAAATTCGAAATGCGAAAGTAGTTTTTCAGTTTTAGTTCAAAAACGAATATTATTTTATTGAAATTTCCTGTTATAAATCTTAGGGCATTATTTGAATTTAAGAAATTTATTTATTTCAGTCATGTTTCCGAGTTTAGCTATACTATTTGTACTTTTTTTTTGGAGGGGGGGTAGAGGGGGGGGTTATCAGCTCTTCAACGTTTGTATAAGACCATATTTTATTTGGAATAAAATATGTAGTTGTCAGTGGTGCTAAAAACCGCTGTTCACCTTGGAGAGAGAAGACGGCGTGTGTCAAACAGAAAAACAACAAAGAAAATCAAGGCAAATAAACAAATAACGTAGAAAATAAAACTAATGCATGAAAGAACGACAATAACAATATTAAAAATGATAGAATAATACTTGACCAAGATAACAAAAAAAATACATTTAAAAAAAAGAAGCACACTGAGGAAATCGCTGCCTTTCTTAAATATCTACTTTCATTAACAAAAAATACTTGCCCGAAGTTAAAGAACCAATACCAAGCAAAAGCTAGAGCTAAAGATTGTAGTTCCTTTTTTATTCTTAGAATTATGATGAGATCCTGACTATTTCAATGATATTTTAATGAATTTAAAATGATAATTGCAAACGCTCATTGAAGACATTCTTCTAAAAGAAGAATTAACAAATTAAATGTATATGAAAACCACTGGAAATAGATTAAAATTGCAGTACTAGATATGCAAGTACCTGAATTGCAAATAAAAATAAAAAAAGTTCAAATATAAAATGTAATATTGCACTTATCCAATGGAGAGAGATTTTGAAGTTGAAACTAAAAAACAAATTTAAGGTAGATTAACTGTAAACCCCCTTCTTGGATTGTAAAATAGCAGTACACACTCAGGCTACTTTTTGTTTAAATCAGCAAATTTTGAGACAGAATGGCAATTTATACGTGTGACTGCTTATTTAAGGATGTTCGCTACTCTTTTTTTCTACTTTTTGTCAGATTATCGGAATCCTCTAGTTTTATCCATGTAGTACCAATAAATATTTTGCTCGCTAACCCTTACTTTTCTTTTTATAATATTATTACATGTACATATAGTTTAAAAAGCAATTTTTGAAAATCTTATAAAATCCTTGTTATTTTTTCATAGTTTTTGAAAGGAAAAAGGTACCATTCTTATATAGATGAAAAATCTAGAGAGAATTGTTTCCCGTCAAATGTTCAATTGGTTATATCTCAAAAACAAGGACATGGACCTTTCATTTTTTTCTGCTTTCTATGTTCCGTTATTCATGTTTTATGAATTTATGACACTCTTTTATAATGCTTGTTATTTTTAAACAGAGGAGCGAACATCCATGGAACGAAACATAAGTGATTTGTTGTATTATTGAAACTGTTTTTACAAATTCCAAATATCTGTTTTTGTTAGATTTAATATTTCAACTTATGCATTTAAGTAGAGATAACTCTTGTAAAAATTATACAGGAATGTTAATGAAATAACGTTTTTTACTAGTAGCAAGAAAACAAGTTCGGTAACACTATTCTTTCTTTTTATTTTCTATAAGCATATTATAAAACCTTTCTTCTCACATTTTATTCAACAATTCTATATCATTGATTTCTTTATATTCACAAAAAAGGGATTTTTATCATGAATAACCTATTCAAAATGAGCAATTATGCGTAACTTGTAGCTTGAAAAAAGCACGGCGGCCCATACTTTTATTGTATTTTGAGAAAAAGCATGGTCAAATCTACATGTTTCCAAAATTCGATCTAAGGAAATATCTAGTGATTATTTACCTTTTCAAAATCAAAATATGTCGAAATATCAATACAATGCATAATACATTAAATTGACAATTCTTTTTGGAAAATATGCATGCTCTGATATTTTTGTAGCGGTTTAAATGAAAAAGACGACGAAGATAATAGTCAATTTATCACTGATCGTCAAGAGGATCAATATTGTTTAAGAAATAGATCTGACGATAATGTAAGACTGAGCGAACCAAATATACCACAAAGGAACGATAGATGTACAAACAATGACTTTGGATTCAAAACCACGAGATCAGAGACACAGTATGATAACCGTGTAAGATTTTATAGTAGTTCAGCATGTTTTGAAGGTTGTGAAATTTCTTCTTCAAAAATTGAAGTTCCAATAGAAAATATACCAGTACCCAATATCGAGCAACAACCTTTCATTCATGACAAAAGTCCAAAGGTGACATCGTCGGAAACATGGGAGAGGTATGTAAAGAAACCTTACACAGCTTACATATTGTACGTTTCAATAAAGCAGATAACAGACATTTTCTTTTTAATTAGACAGTACAAAAGACACCACCAGCCACCCAAACCCCCAAAAAACTATACTTATAAAAAAGAAACAAATCAACGAACAACATATGGTCCAAATAGCGCTTTTTGAGCATGGCCAAAATGTGCTGGTTTTCAACCAGCGCAAAAAAAAACTCCAACTTTGACTATTTATTTTTCTATGGTGTAAAAAAAAATATGATAACAAAAACTGCACATTTCTTGAGCCTTTGTTTGCCTTTTCTTTCTAATTGTTAGATGTATATATGTTTAGAAGTCAAACTATTCTGCACAGCCTCAAACGAAATAATCATAATGTTGGCCGAAAATTATTAAATTTCAAGTGAATATTATAACCGATGGTTGACTGACGGCACATAATCGAAAGACACAAATGTTCAAAATCCTTGACGCAAAATCAACATTTGATAGACTTATCTTTTCTTTTAATGTCCTTTTCGGTTATACAGCTTCTCCAGTATTTGCTTATTCATTATTCATTTGCTTTCAAATTTTTGGGCTAAGCGTGTGATGAAGGTAAATCCAGAAAGCTCTTTGGATGAGCTCAATTCATAATGAGCTGTTTTCAATTAAGATGTTAATCCGCGAAGATCCCCTACAGTTTGACAGTAAAGGGTGCAGTTTCAAAACTCAGACAAAAGTCCTTTATTATAATACAACTACTGTTTAAAAGAAAATGACGTATCCACAAATGAAAATTAAATAATATATATGGTCACAATGAAACAATCAGTATAATTAGTATGAGTTATTTAAATTTTGAAATAAATTTCTTTAAGAAATAAAACAATTTAATGGTTTGTAGTATTTTTGAACAAGCTGAACATAGTTTAACTGTTAAAAGCTAAAATCTTGGCGATTATCAATAAAATCATTACAATTAAGTAAAACTTGTCTAATGATATACTTGAGGGCGCAACCTGCTCTCGTCGTTTAAGAGGTAATCGGGTGCTTTTCTACTAGAAAGATTAATTCTGCATCTAGAAATTACAAGGTGATATTTCGTGTGTGTAAATTTTGTTTGCTTTACCATTATTCTGTTTTATCTCTATCAGACATATCCATGATTCTTTCAATAACTTAAAAACTTATAATATAATGTGTTGATTAAAATCAGCTACCCCAAGGGTTCACTGGGGTATAGAAATATAACTAGATTTCAATCCTGCAAAAAAATCCACTCTGAAGAGTCATCCATTTGGCTCGTTTCTAGTTTTTTATATAGATTAGACCGTTGGTTTTCCCGATTGGTTTTACACTAGTAATTTTTGGGGCCCTTTATTGCTTGCTGTTCGGTGTGAGCCAAGGCTCCGTGTTAAAGACCGTACTTTGACCTATGATGGTTTACTTTTATAAATTTTGACTTGGATGGAGAGTTGTCTCATTGGCACTCATACCACATCTTCTTATATCTATATATGCAGTTACGTATGGTCGGAATAGGACGTTAAATCCGACGCATAGTGTAGTGAGAGTGCCAAACTGAATGCACGCGGAATCCCTTGCAACAACTCTTTGTGGTCCGTAAAAAGGTGTGTTGGAAGACAACATTTCAATCCCTGAGCCCTCGTGTAGTTCTTGTGATTGAAGATTTGATTGAAACCGCTTGTTAAAAATACGTCAACACAAAATTTCTAGAGACTATCTGTTAATAGAGAAATAATAATGGTAAGAAGTTAAGAAAGATGTTTAGTGTTGTGCTTTATACGATTTTTGTTTAGGCATCTAGTATAATGATGGGATATTTAATCGTCCTATTTTATTTTAGTTTCAAATGAGAGAAAGACGGATTTGTGATTTTCTAAAATCTCCTCTTTAGTGAATGACCAAGCCTCGTGTTTCTTGAAAGGGTCAGAATACCGCGTGCTTATTGCACATCGTAGATTTGATAGCGCTTCAGAATTAATGACCAAACAGCTTTAATCCATTCAGATAATGTGTCTAATTTTGGTACCTCTGACTCGGCTTCTAATGATTTTCTGGCATTGTCCTCAAAAGCATCCAGTAGTAACCTAAATTCTACCAGTTTATGGGCTGCAGAATTAAAAAATAATAATTTCTTTTAATTTTCAAACAGCTGAGTTTATAAAATTTCTATAAATATATATATATATATATATATATATATATATATATATATATATATATATATATATATATATATATATATATATATATATATATATATATATATATATATATATATATACAAGTCTAAATTCAAAACAACGTTCAAACCTATGATTGCGTTGGATAAAAACCGCAATTTTTATACGTGTGCATGCAAAACAAATTTCTTGGTAGAGGGGTCTAAATACAGCACAAACAACATTTTTAAAAGACCAAAAAGTTAAAAAGTATATTTTAACAAAACGCATTTGACTAGTAGGTCGAACAACTGATGTTCTTAAACCCTGCTGACTGTCACTGGCGATTGCCAAATAAACGGATCACAAGATGTAACAAAATGGATCTTATTATTAATTTATTACCAAACAGAAAACAATAAACTTGCGGAAAAGATGGTATACCGCAAACATGAGGTGCAAAAATTTGTACACCATATCCGGATTTCGACAATTAATATCTCTTCAGTGATGTTAGGGATCGAAACGGTATTTGGAAGGCCATATATATATTTAAGAATATGTGGTATGATTGCCAATGTAACAACTCTCCGCAAGATACCAAATGAAATACAAATTAACAACTATGATCAACTATAGGTCACCGTACAGCCGTCAACAATGAGAAAACTCATACCGCATATTCAGCTATAAAAGCATAAGCATGTTTATTATTAATCTAGTTACAGCTTAATTATTCAGGAAAAATAAATAAAGAAATAAAGATATTACATTTGTTAAATGATTCCTTCTCTTAATTCAGTTTTGGTGCCATGAACTTAATCAACGAAGTCCAGAAGGCTAGTCTTAATGTGAACTGGACCTAATATGACCACCAAATTATAGATTTTGAACTTGTATTAGGGAAAAACTGATATGCATCAGTATGTTATCTTTTTAGTTTTAACCAAATATTGATATATTTATAGTCAACCACAGACACAAACTGATCTTCATGAGGACTCCGGGGTGGAATGCAACGGTAGGCAACTATATATTACATTGAAAAATTTCATCGTTTACTCAAAACATTGAATTGAATCAAACCATTTTTATAATTTTTTTCTATAGCTTTGAAATATATTTGCTGAAACTTTTATATAAGAATAAAACTTATGTTTTTTTTCATGTAAACAATTAAAGATCTTAGATGGCACTATTAATTTAGTAATTTTTAGTGTTGATGTAAAACAAATAAAGGAGGAGGAGTTTTGAACTCCCCCTCCTCCGGAAAAAAGGACAAAAATTGCAGAAAACCCAAGAATGTTTGAAAAAAATAATCACTTCAGCAGTGAGGGTCTATAAAATTAGTCCATAAAAATCATTACCAATAAGCTGCTTAGACCGTATTTGGGCACAATGACTGATGATCAAGTGGCATAGCTGTCATATTGAACATCATGGATATACATAAATTCCACGCAATTATAATATCAGAAAATGGAAACTCACTCTTTAAAAGATGTAGTCATAACCAATGAATTGCATATTCTTTTCGTCCACCATTTCCAAATACATGTATTTATTTTGTATTTGCATTGTATCATAGATCAAATTTATTTGTTCAGTGTATGTTCACTGGTGTAAATATGTCTTTTGATAGAGTTAAGCCATTTCAATTGATATTTTATAGTGTGTCTTTCTATGTTGTGGTGTACACTATTGTTTCAGATAAGGGTGAAAGTTTGGTACCATTAAATCGTTTAAACCCGCTGCAATTGTTTGCACCTGTCCTAAGTCAGGAATCTGATGTTCAGTAGTTGTCGTTTGTTGATGTGGTTCATAAGTGTTTCTCTTTTCTCGTTTTTTATATAGATTAGACCGTTGGTTTTCCAGTTTGAATGGTTTTACACTAGTAATTTTTGGGGCTTTTTATAGCTTGCTGTTTGGTGTGAGCCAAGGCTCCGTGTTGAAGACCGTACTTTGACCTATAATGGTTTACTTTTATAAATTTTGACTTGGATGGTGAGTTGTCTCATTGGCACTCATACTACATCTTCTTATATCTATAAGAATAAGACGAATTTATTTGGTAATTAACAAATTTAAAGATTCAACGTGAAAAATATTTCTTGATAACTATTCGGGTCAAGTAGATCGTTTCATAAAGTATTGCACTATTCATATAAAGTCACTTGCAACCCGTATGTACCACGTTACGACTACGATAGTCAGTCGTCATTTACTCGATATTACATTGAGGTGGATTTTTTTGTCGATAGTGACCTTTGTAAATGGACATCAATATTCTTGTATATATCTTATACCTTATAGTACAGTTCATTTGTTATTTCTCATTGTCAAACAAACTGAACATTTTAAAAAGTGGAAATGTATTATACGTTTTTAAAGAGGGTTGATGTTACAGATCTAGGTACTGAGTAATTGGAAAAAAGATATTTATTTATTCTGTTATTATTCTAGCAGGTTTTGGCGAAATGAAACAGCTTCGGACAATAAGAGACTGGTTAGGACATCTTCAGCAGATTCTTGCATTCAGTATGTTTTATTGTAGAGAAACCAAATTGGTTATTTAATGTGAAGAGAAAAAATGATAAAATACTTCCGCAATCATTCTTTTGAGAGAGAGGAAAGAGCACGAAAATAAAATATGGACAATCAATAAACCAATAATATGTTTAAATTTATGCTTAAACTAAGACTGAAAGTGAATTCTTATTTGTACATGTATATTGAAATATTTGCACACTCGATTAAATAATAATAATAATTATATCCTGAATTTCCGGTATATTGCATATTCTTTTTTAATTTAAGATGGATACAAACAAAATTCCTCTTTTATTAAACGTGGAGGAGGACGACACATTACGCTGGTATTAGATATTTCTGAACGAATGAAAGGACGAAAATTTGAAGCCATGAAAACGGCTGCTGTTCAGTATATTGAAGGCAAGTTACATAATGTTATATCTGTATTAAGGAAAAATGTACTCCTGTTAAATCAAAAATATATTGCGATATAAAAAAATCAAATAAATATGTAACCCCCCCCCCCCCCCCCCCCCGCCGTAGGCAACGGGGACATTAAGTGTTACCCTTGACCGTCCTTCCGTCCTTCCGTCCGTCTGTCCAATTTTCGTTGCCGCTCTCTAATCTAAGTTTGCCTCATGCAAATCTTATGTAAACTCATACAATATGCTAAGAACCAAAACTAGCACACAGAGTTCGAATTTGGGTTGAGAGTCATTTACCGTTTTAGAGTTATGTTCCTTTACAACTTGGAAAATTGCATATTTTTTTTTTCATTTCCGCACTCTAACTTAAGTTTGTCTCATCCAAATTTTATGAAGTCATACACAATGCTAAAATCCACAACACATCATGCACAAAGACAGAGTCTGAATTTGGGTTGTGAGTCATTTACCGTTCTAGAGTTATGCCCCTTTTTAACTTTCAAATTGCAAACATTAAGCGGGCGCATTCGTATCCTCAGACACATTTTACTTTTATTTATTTTATATTTCACTTTCATTTCTTTGTTTTAAAGGTATTAGACAAGTTGCAATGCTGGGGATGGCCGATAATATTGGTCTTGCTGTTTTTGGTGGGCAGAGTCGACTCATTCAAGAGACAACTAATGATTACAGTTTGATATTGGAACATATAGGTGAAATAATAGACATAAAGTTCATGAAAATATAAAAACAGGAATAACTGTATCCAAAGTAATACTAAGGATATCAGTTTGTTAATAGACCACTTTGACATTATATGACACATATAATTAACAACGACAGTCGTATGGAGTAAAAATTAGCTTTTTGCCATTTACATTCACATTGAAATTTGTTCTTTATATCAAACATTTTTAAATAATATAAAAGAAGAAAGATAAAGGAAAAAATGTAACTCATTATTTGTATTATACGAATGTCAACAAGTACTCGAATACTCGAGTGTTACCCTGTAGTACCGAGTATCGAATATCAAAATGATACTTAACTAATCAGTGTAAATTCCTGCCCTTCTTTTCATAAAATAGATTTTCTTTAGAAAACCCCTTGAAGAATTAAATAGTAATCGTTTGTGCTAAAGTTTCTTTTAAAATGCCGTAAAATCTCTTCCGTTTAAAAAGCTAACAAAGTCCCGTGATACAACATTTTGAATAGTGGGCTACACATTCGAGCAGTTTCTTATGTCGACATTTGTGACTGAACGTGGTTAAGCCATTTCCACCACATCAGTACCGTCAGAGCGCTCATGTTCGTCTGCAGGACAGTTAATTACAAACTTGCGAAAACAACTATCCCCTGAAACAGTTGACAAGTTAATTTATTTTTTTCATAAAATAAAATTGTCGCATCCTGTGGTGACCCTCAGTGAATGGTTACTTCTAATCGTCACGACTTTATAAATGTGATTTTAAACCACAAAGCGTCAAGTGCGCAATACATCGTGTTTGAATTTTGTAGATATTTTCCGAATCGAGGACTCGAGTATCGCTCGGTAAAACCAACGAGTTATCTATAAGTAATTCTTCCCCGAGTTCACACCCTACTTTATATTCCGTGAATAAAACAATAACTGAAGTTTGAAATTTTGATGGAAACGTCACTTGTTCATATAAATGCTTTGATAATCGCAAATATAAATAAATAGAAGTATTAATTTGGTAGGCGGTTCTTGATAGCTTCATGTCAGGACATTTTAAACAATTTTTCGAATCAAAGTTTTAATTGGAATTTTTTATTCAAAATTCACAATAATACTTCATGGATACAATCGATCATAGCAAATATGTTGTTGTACATCATGTTTTCTTATGAACGTAAAAGTACAAGTCTTTAATATATAACTATCCAAGTAGTGTCATAGTCGTATGCTATAATTAAATATCGATTGAATTTTAAGTCAAATATTATTTTATGCTGTATGTTAATGATCATCGCCTTAAAATTTTGGTTTGAGCGTTTCTGCTGCAGGTAAATCAAGAAAGGTGTTTCGGACGCAACAAATCATTAAAGCGTTATTTTCATTCATAGAAAATGATAATAATATTACATCAAATAGTATCAATTTAGCTATACCAATAATATTCCTTCCGTGATGCTCCAAGTCAAAAATTGACCACAAAAAATGACCACAAACATATGCATCAAGTCATTTTTCATTTATTGCGAAAATCACACTTTAAGAATTTCGCCTTGTAAAATGTTTCATTTATTCAAATCAATTCAAACTAGGGAATAAACATACACTTAATTATATCAGTACACAATAAACTAATTTCCTGTCACACATACGGTTTGGTCTTCAAAACCATCACAAAATGTATTTGGCTAAATAGTTGGTATGAAGAACATTTACATTAATAATGTCAATTTTTCGTGACTCAAATTTTCAGCACTTTTAGAAATTTGTGAAATGATATACTCAGATAAATACTTATCCATTAACTTAATCAAATTTTGTATTAACAAAGTTATGAATATACTTCTATGACAGAAACTATAAAATACTTGAACAGAAAATGCATTAACCAGAAAGACGATTGGTAAAATTATTTCGCTTACATATATATCGCACTGTATCTTGCTGTAAATTACACTATTAATTTATCATTACAAGAATTATAGGAACCAAACTGTGGCATAACCAATGAGTATGAATATATCGGAACCTTTAAAATAATAAGGATATCAAATTTCTTTTTAAAATCATAAAAATCTCCGGCGCAGAGATCATATCCGTTCCGTTCTATTCTACGTAACACTACACCCAATACGACAGCTAAGCAGTCCACAAACTATGGAACGCCACAGCTGCCTTGTGATGACGATAATCATATCATTAAGGGTTAAGATATAACATGAAGCAAATTTTCTATACTATTACGACATTTGACTATACTACTCTGTCAATTTGCTATATCACTAAGATAAATTTATGTACTATCAAGACGTTTTGATATAACATGGAGCTACCTTTTCATACTATTCTGTCATTTTACTTTGTCATGAAGACATTCGTTTATACTATGAAGACATCTTGATATAACATGGAACTTTATTTTCATACTATTCTGTTATTTTACTTTGTCATGCAGACATTCTTTTATTCTTCGAAGACATTTCGATATAACATGGAGCTACCTTTTGATACTATTTTGTCATTTTACTATACTATTATACGATATTGCTATATCATAAAGATACACTTTATACAATAAAAACATCTTTATATAACATTGAGCAACTTTTTCATACTATTTTGTCACCTCACTATACTATTATGTCATGTTACTATCTTATTACGATAAATTTGTATACTATACAATCATCTCCATATTACATGGAGCAACTTGTGCATACTATTATGTCATATTACTATCCTATGAAGACATATTTTAATATCAAACTTCAAATTTCTTATACCACGAGGTGTCATTTATATACCAGTAGATTATTTGATGACACTACAAGACCATTTCATCGTACTATCAGAAGACAATTCTATAAACAGCGGCAAAAATATTATATTACATATTTTTTAATTATTTTTGTGTTATTCTGTGTTTTCAGTAAGTTCCAGTATGGCCACATCGAGTTAATTTGTAGATGATCATCCACCTGTTTTGAGCAAGTGGGGTGGGTGGGAGAATTCTATTAATGTTTAATTCTTAGCAATCTCTAGGAAATTTACATTATTTCTCCAAAATACAAATTAAAAAAAGGAGAAAGTGTTTATAGGACAAAGATGCCCCCTCTTCCACATAAGTTCAAAAGGGGTATAACTCTTGAACCGTAACAGTTACAATACCCAAATTCGAACTTGATCTGTATATTGTGGTAATAAGCATTGTGTTTACGTTTCAAATAAGAATTAAAAATTAATAGAATTCTCCCACCCGCCCCACTTGCTTAAAACAGGTGAATGATCATCTACAAATTAACTCGATGTGGCCATTCTGGAATTTCTGAAAACACAGAATAAAAAATTAAATTATTAAAAAATATGAAATATAATATTTTTGCCGCTATTTATAGAATTGTCTTCCGATAGGATGGTACGATGATATGGTCTTGTAGTGTAATCAAACAGTCTACTGGTATATACATGTAAATGACACCTCGTGGTATAAGAATTTGGTAGCTTGATATTAAAATATGTCTTCATAAGATAGTTATATGACAGAATAGTATGAAAAAGTTGCTCCATGTTATATGGAGATGATTGCATAGTATACAAATTTATCGTAATAAGGTAGTAACATGATATAATAGTATAGTGAGGTGACAAAATAGTATGAAAAAGTTGCTCAATGTTATATTAAGATGTCTTTATTGTATAAAGTGTATCTTTATGATATAGAAATATCGCATAATAGTATAGTAAAATGACAGAAAAGTATGAACAGGTAGCTTTATGTTATATCAAGATGTCTTCATAGTATAAAAGAATGTCTTCATGACAAAGTAAAATGACAGAATAGCATGAAAAGGTAGCTCAATGTTATATCAAAACGTCTTTATTGTATATAAATTTATCTTAGTGATATAGCAAATTGACAGAGTTGAATAGTCCAATGTCGTAATAGTAAAGAAAATTTGCTTCATTATATCTCAACCCTTTATGATATGATTATACTTATCATAAGGCAGCTGTGGCGTTCCATAACAAACAGTACTGAATTCAATTATAACATAGATGCTTCATTGTGTCAATACGTATATCTATGATAACCTTCAACAAAAACGCTGACCAAATGACAGACGAGATCTATCGCTAAATGTAACATAATAGAAAAGTCAATAAACAATTAGTTTGATAGGACGACGTGCACGATTCATTTTTGAAAATATACAAAATTTGGTTAACAGGAATTCTTTAAAATATTTTTTTATGAATGATAGAAAATTCAAAAACATTCTGAAACAGGAAGTGCCCTCGCCCAATAAAGGTAAAGTAGAAAAAACGTAAAATGTACCGTTTTTCTGTGTTTGACACCTATTAATGAATTCATCAAATATGGATTGCTATACGAACAATTACATTGCAATTTATTACTGTAATAGTTCTTCATTACTTTTTATTATTGAAGGCCAACTACATCCCATGGGAAATGCACCCATTATTGGAGGACTGTTAATGGGACTAGCTGGAGTTTTATCAGGTAATGATATTTCCTGTTTCAATAAAGTATTGCATTAAAATTAGCATGTCAAATTATTAAGGTGTAACGCCCTCAACTCAACTCAACCAGTAAGATAAGAAAACAAATAATTATGTAAAAAAGTCTTCCTCTGACTGCATTCAATGTTGTTGTTAAATAAAACTAATGAATAAATTTGCATAAATGATGGGTTTTTTTCTGAATAGGAAATATATTAAGACAATCTTATGACAACTTACTTGTCCATTGATTTGCATTACAATTTTTGGGTTGATGTGATACATGGTATACTCATTAAAGGTTTTCAGAGTGCTATTTTTTTAGTAGTAGGTGACTTCCGGAACGTCATCGGTCACTACGAGATTTTAACATTGGAGGACAATTCGTATCTGATACAGGTACAATTCAGTATATTCTATATGTGATACATGTACAATTCAGGATATACTTTGTTTTCTCGTGAAGTTTAACATAATGTTAAATATTTAGATAGCTGTTTAGATTTGAAAATTTGGTTGATTATAAAAAATAGTGGTATGACACATGAAAAGTTTAGAAAAGTAATCTTAAAAGGGGAGTACTTACCGTTACCTTGATGATATCTTTCCGTTAGATAATCAAGAATTCTCTATATATACTGCGGAAATTTACCCAAGACAACTTTCTTTGAATAAATCTAATATAAACAGAAAAAACAGTCCTGACTAAATTGACGATTTTTCGTTCCCTATTGTTAATTTTCCTTTTTATACCGTATAGATGGTGATGTTCCTTTTGAACCATTCTTTCGGTCTTTCTATATCCCATCTCGTTCGCTATGCCCGTGTCTGTAGTGGCGTTATAGATTTTAATGAACGTAATCTATATATCAATGGTAAATTATTGAGCCAAGGATTTCGAAACCAAATTACTTAAAACCTTTACTACATTTTTCAAAGATACAAAATTATGGTGTAGAAGTTTGGTTGTACCTGTAGAAAACTTAATACGAACGGCATATCAAATCCTTGTATTAATCCACATTACAAGGTTTAACCCACCATTTTTTTCGGAAAATGCTTGTATCAAGTCAGGAATATGTCAGTTGTTTTCCACTTGTTCCATTGATTGATAACGTTTGATTTTGTCAGTATTTATGGACTTCCCTTTTTTGAATTTGCCTTGGAGTTCTGTATTTTTGTTATACTTTTTCACGGTGATTCTTTGAATAAACTTATTCTAAAAGGTTATCAATTTTACACTGTACTAAGATTTTCCAATATTGTTTTATTGATACTAACATATCTTGTTATTTAAAAATAAACATTATTACATGTAAATATGAATTCCAGTATAGCAATGAACATACTGTCGATGCTTAATTTTTGGCATTGTACAAAATTATGTTTTATCAGACTGTTAATGAGATCTTTACACTAAATCCATTGGATGTGTAATGATTGATAGTTTAAAGTGGCAAACATGATCAAAGTGTGGGTCGTTATTTGCTTCTAGTGACTTTAAGTACTCTAGAATCGGCACTTTGTGTGTGTAGTCTTTTTGATAGTTGTTTTTTATGCTTTATGTCGATCTAATGAGTTAAAATATCAGGAGTCAAAACTCATCAAAGATATAAGGTATATAATTCAATACGCTTGATACGATATGACACTTATCAATGGTGCTCGAATTAAATACTTGTCGTTTGAAGGCCAAACTCGAATTCGAAGTTGAATATTCCGAAAAGTTATGCCAAAAACATCGCAGGCAATCTATGCCTGGGTTAGAATAACCTTAGGGTTTCGAACTATTCAACATTTTATTGCAGTAAATTTACCGAAAATGAACATATTAATAATGTTTCAAGTCAACAATTATATCGTGCATGACTAGTGGGTTGGTGCTACAATTGGGACGAAATGAGAGTCATCAGTGGAGTTCAAATCAAACCAGAACGAAGGTCAAATCAAATACAAAGTTAAAGAGTATTAAAAATCGAAATTCCAAAAATTGATATCAAATTCGGCTGTGGTAATATATTCCTAGGGTCAAAGCCTAAACCAATGGTTTTTAACACTGATTTTTACAGTGTATTCGTATATTGTACTATTACACCTGTGTCCCCGGTTAGAAGAGGGTTGAGCACTCGTAAACATGTTCAAGCTTGCCACTTCCTGTATATGCATGTCCCAAGTCAAGAGCCTGTAAATGAATGGTTATCGTTAGTTGTAATTTAACGTTGTTTCCAAGGTCTAATGGAGCCTGTTTTTAAAATACCAATAACAATACTTTGAACTTGTCTCTGCCCAAGCGTATGTGTTATTGGATTACATTTACAAGTAGAGATCCTTAGGTGGACTATTTCAAACCTAAATGTCTGCCCTTATCCGATATACCCTTATTTTCAGGTGGCTTTCAAATTTTCATCCCTTTTTACCGGTCGACCTCCTATTGCAGGGCCTATCTTTTATATCTATTGTTAATTTATTTTCGTCCTTGACATGCTTGAAATATTTGCCACTGGACGTTACGCAATCAATCAATCCTTGTAAAGGATTTGAAAAACAAATCGTAAAATGTGCATAAATATTGTTTGCACCTGTCCTAAGTCAGGAAACTGATGTTCAGTAGTTGTCGTTTGTTGATGTGGTTCATAAGTGTTTCTCGTTTCTCGTTTTTTATATCGATTAGACCGTTGGTTTTCCAGTTTGAATGGTTTTACACTAGTCATTTTTGGGGTCCTTTATAGCTTGCTGTTCGGTGTGAGCCAAGGCTCTGTGTTGAAGACCGTACTTTGACCTATAATGGTTGACTTTTTCAAATTGTGACTTGGATTGATAGTTGTCTCATTGGCACTCATACCACATCTTCTTATATCTATAAAGTTCCTATACCGAACTTAATAATAAACTCATCATAGAATAACCCCGCCCGACGATGAACTTTATGATTGTTTATATAATATGAGGGTTGTCCGTAAAGTTTGAGGACAATCTCAATAAAATATTATTTACCCGTCCGAAATACATAGAACAAGTATATAACTAATTTCATGATTTACTGATTAAGTGTATAAAATTTTATTTCAGTACCTGCTTAAATAATCGTATTTTCATCAATTTGAAATCATAAGAAACTCTCACCTGGAGCACCCAAACAAATATTTCCGACGTTCCGACGTTCGACGACGACAACATTTTAACTTTTCTCAACGTAGTTTCCTTTCAAAGCAACACATTTTTTACATCTTTTTAACCAGTCATCAAATATTTTCTGAAACTGTTCTGTTTTCATTTTTAAGATTATGTTCATTACTTCCTGTCTTAGTTCAGGTAAATCGTCGAACCTTTGTCCACGGAGAAAAGATTTGATATGCGGGAATACCGAAAAATCTATTATTATTCTCAAAGCTTGAACCAAATCTCGCCTCAGTACCTGAAAGTACAAAATAAACGGACTTTTAATCGTATTGCATCTAAATCAAAATAAGATTGATAATTTATTTTTCATTCTTTGATAAACACCTTCTTAAACTGTTTATTTCATTTTATTTAGATTTCAATTATTAATATAAGATAATTCATTATTTTTAAAAGCATATATTATGTTAAATACCTTGGAGTAGTATTCAGAATTAACAGTCTTGCCACGGGGTACAGCATGTGTCAGTAACATTCCTTTTCGGTCCATGAAGAGAATGAACATATTCTTTCCCATTGATTTGGTTATCTTTGCCTTCTTTGGTGGCGGTGAGTTACAGTTTTCCACTGACTTGACTGTTGTTTAGTTTCCGGATCGTAGTAATGAAACCAGCTTTCGTTGGTTGTAATTTTTCTGTCTAGAAATCGTATGCCACCACGAGAAACTTTTTGATAAATTGATTTGTCAATTCCATTCTTTTTGTTAAATATTCTGCTGTAAGAAGTCGCGGTACCTATCTAGCACATACTCGATTCATATTTAAATCATTTGCTAAAATGTGGTGCGCTGTATTCTTAGAAATGTCACATTTGGCTGCAACTTCGCGAACTGTTAGTCGCCGGTCACTGTTGATAACGTTCAGAACTTCATCTTTTATCGCATCTGATTCCCTGAAAGATGGCCTACCTTCCCGCTCATCGTCTTCCAAATTGTCTCTTCCGTCCCCAAACCTTTTGTGCCACTTGAATACCAATGAACGACTAACTTTGCTATGTTTCTCAGAATGTTTTAAGAATTAGTGTGTTTCTGTTGGCGTTTTTTTTATGTCTACACAAAACTTTATAACCGCCCGCTGCTCCACCTTTTCCGTAAATTTCCTTTTTTTTCAGTGATGCCGATTCTGGATTCAATGCTTCAAATCAAGATTTCTCCGCCATTTCGAAATTTTGACCATTCAAATTTAGCAGGTGTAACGTCAAGACTATTGTCGACGTCACAATATAAGTTTCATGTATTTTTTGGCGGATTTTGAAACTTAAAATAACAAAAATATGAAAACACCAGCCTGCATGTTATGTAATATTTTCGCTGTGCTCCGGGTCCCTATTGCTTATATTTATATGAAGTAAGTGTAATTATTTCGCATTTAAAATTGGAAAAATATTGATATAACCGAACTAGGATTCAGGATTCTGGTTCAGGATGACAAATATGCAAAAAGAATTTACCTGAAATGCTATTTTTACGCAGACTTCAGCTTGTCCACGTACTTTACGGACAACCTTCGTATGTATATAAAATTCACTGGGCGATAGACTATAATTGTATTTTACTAAAGCAAGTGTTATTTTCATTTAAGCTTCAGAATATCAGATGTTCCATTGCAAAATCTTTTATTCGGTCTTTCGATTCCTTCATTTTTTGGTTGTTGTCGTTGTTGTTTTTTTATCTTGGTTTTGTATTAACTTTACGTATTTTCTTGATTAGAATATCGATAAACTTGTCTTGCCTCTAATGTTTAGAAGGATGTAAGCCTTAAAAAGAACACAGAATGTACTGTGTTACAACACTAAATAAAGCCGACGAGGAAAGGCATTACTCGACTAACGAAAGCTATATCTAATAGCCTAGTTGGTCGTGTGGTCTAGGGCGCTGGACACAGTGCAGGCGGTGTTGCAAGATGTCACAGAAGCATGGGTATGAATTTGAGGGAAGAACAAAAATTTGATGACGTGAATTGTTTACAGATCTAACATTTTTGGGCTAAATTTGAGACGAGTTATATTCATATATAGTTTTTTATAGGTTACGGGGGTTTCCTTATGCAAAAGATGCTATCAAAGCGAAAAGAAAATGTTGATTAACCCATTGACTGATATGTTAAAAATATTATACAGCAGCTTCATAGTGTAATTATTTTTTCTTTTGTATTTTGTCTGCTGTTCTTTTGTCTTATATTCCACATTCTCTGACATTCACATATAATAAATGTTGAACGCAAAAGTATTTATATAAAATATCTTATCATTTTAAAGGACATTGTATTTTCGCTCTTTTCTTCACATTAGGTCCAGTGGGTCGAATTGGGGATAATTCACTGCAGGGGCATATGATAATTTTCACGGATGAAACTTCAGGGCATGTTTTACCAGAGTACGATACAGAAATTGGTATCAGGTGTTCCTTTGAATTTGGAAACTTTCGCGTAAGTATATCATTTCCACTTTATTAATCCGATGTTTTACATTTGAGGAGCACCTTCTTTATTGTACTTACAGGAAAAGTAATATGAGGCAGAATGGGGTAGTGTATCAACAATACGACTTCAAATCTCTATTATAAAACAAATCGGTTTATACAGTCAAACCTGGGAAAACCAGATCCTGTCCATTCCAGCCGAAAATCAAAATTCCATTATAAACCAAATCGATTTATACATGCATTTGAAATAGCCCTATTATTGTCCTTTTTAAAACCTTAGTAGAGAAGAACTTGCACAGAGATCAAAAATGTAGATGAGAGCGAAAGATACCAAAGGAATTGTCAAACTCATATGTCAAAAACAAACTGAAAACGCCATGACAACAAACGAAAAACGACTAAATGACAAACAGTTTACAAAATAAAATATAAAAACTAAAATCTGAACAATACAAACCCAACAGAAACACACGGGTGGTCGGGAAAGGGTAATAGATCCTGCTCCACATGCTTCACCGGTCATGTTTCTGTCTTGTAAGTACAAAGTCGTTGATATTTCTATTTATGTGATAAGTCTAATTCTGTGATGTCATATTCAAGGAAAAGAGGAAGGAATTCTTACGACAATTGTAACGAAATTCAATGTTATCTGTGAAATATATATTTAATAACGATCAACCAAATCGTGAAGGCGTTCGTTCATTTCTCGAAGGGGTGATTTCAACTTCACCACTTGAAATCCTTGGTTTAATAGCTTCCTTGTAAGCAGCAACCCTCTATCAGGAAAATCATGATAAAAATTAACGCTTTGGAATATGGTATCAACTTGAGATACATATTCCATATGCAAGTGCTGCTGGAATAGTGATTCATAGAAATGGATATTTCACAATTTGGGAGATGAATTTGATATGTAATGCCTAAAATAAGAGTCGACATTTAACTGCATAACCTCAGGAAAAAAACATAACTTTAGCAGGCGGTAACATTGATATTTTGAAAGGAGATTGGTTGATAAGTATATGCTGTCTTTTCAAATATTACACACCGAACCTCATTTAATAGGTTATCTGTTGAGTTATTGAAGAAATCACACATTTAGTAACAAAGTAAACACCAGTCTATTGTTGAAGAATGTACATTGCCCTCTAAATAAGGAACTGGATATTGCATTACTCAGATGGATAAAAGAATTTCAAAGATGCTCCAGGAAATGTATTTCCAATTACTAACATCTATCGAATTTGATTTGGACTTCAAACTATTTTGATTCGAGCGCCACTGATGAGTCTGACATACTAAATTATTAGCCTGGTATCTTGGATGATTTTTGTATTCAATAAAATCGGTCTAAAGAATTTAGAAAAAGAAAGTTCTACTCTAAGAGTGGTGTGAATCTAAAGTATATTCTGAACAATCCAAAGATCTATTAGTGTACACATAATTAAACCCAATATCCTCATGCAACAGTATGAAACATTTGGCCGTTTTTGTTGGGTTTTTTTTCCGCAATAGTCTTATTTTTAAATCTTATTCAACATTTGTGTAATCGAGTACACTGATGTCGTGTTATCGACATAGCAAAAAACATCCACTGATGTTACGTAATCGACATAGCAAAGAACATCGCTAAGGCGACGTCTTGCATTGCAGTGATGTGAGAGCTTTTGCTCCATTATAAAGGCCTCAAACCTATCTCGAAGGAAAGAACATAGATAAAGTATTGTCCATTTGCTTTATTAACAGTCGAATGTTAAAGACTAGAAATGTGGCAAAACTGGTAATATACTCAAAAGACGATAATGATTGTGTTGGATCTATGTCAAAGTAGATCAACTTCTCGACGATCTTACGTTGAGACAACTGGTGGTGATAACCGTAAAGTATGTGAAATGTTATTTCATTATTCTTCGTTACCTTATTTCCACATAGATTTAACTTTTTTTTAAACAGTAATGATTTTTTTAATGTACTAAGTATCAAACTTTAGGGTCTTCCAGAGACTGGTAGCATACAACAGATGATAACTAGCACTCATACTAAAGTATATTATGTTCCTGTAGGAGATGGCAAAACTAATCCTGTAAGTAAACGTAACACAGTCATAAAAAGTGAATATATTTTATAATAGATTTACCCTGATATACAGCATAATACTTTTGCTTCCAAAGTGCTTTTGGCAATTTCAAAAGATTGTCTTTTTCTGGAACCATGTTTTAGATAATTTATTACGGGGACGACCTGGGCTAAGGGCGAAGTCATTTGTGTTTTTTTGGCAGGAAGTTATGGAAACAGTGAAAAGTATTTCTATAATAAATATGGTTTACATTGGATGGTAAGGATGATCCCATGCATCCATGTACAAGATTGACTCTTCCAAGCATGAAGGCATTGGCCATTTTTAGAAAAGCCCATGGCTCAGAAGCTGCAATAAATAGACAATGATCATACATTTTGGTTGAAAAGCATCTTACAAATGTGCTTTATAGGATATTGGGGAAAGACTCTTGACCCATTTAGATCAAACCTTGAAAGTTGTGAAAATATAGAACTTGACAAAATAGTAGATAGAACATTATAGGTGTATAATATAGATGCGAAAAGAGAGGCTGTTACAGTGCACTGAATTTTATGCCTGTGGTCTTTTTTGTTTTAAGATATGATTTGAATAACTACCCAAGTACAAAATAATGCTTACAGCTATTTATTTCAGCATAAAGAGAGTACTTAGAAACTTTACAATTTTCATTTATTCACACACAATACTGCAAAGAGAGACTGTAGAATGGTTTACAGAAAATAATCTGAACTTTGTTTAAACTTTGACTTTTCTTTAAATGTCGATTAGGCAAAATTGTTTACAATGGAAACATTTCAAAAGTGTGTGATTTAAAGGTATATGCATTGTACTTGATAATCGCTTCAGTACTTTTTGTAGGAATTAAAAAAATTCTCGCAGTCTTTGAAAAATAAAATGCGTCAATGGAAATTTACCCAAAATCTCAACATATTCATTCATTTTCAACCATTGATTTACATTGAGAAAATAAATCACTATTGTACTTAAAAACACACGCAATGTATATGTGCGTCTACTGTTGTTTTCGAATGGCATTTCGGGGAACCAAAAATCTGGTCATATTCATTTCATTAAAATGTTATCAACTTATGTATAGACCCCTATCCATTCCATAGTGTAAATATACGAAACATTACCCAATAAGAAAATGTTGGTGTTACCATCTTAAAGGAGCATTTGTATGGAATTTTATGCGACTGTCATGCAAGTGAGAGGTTTAGCTAGCTATAAAACCAGGTTTAATCTACCATTTTCTACATAAGAAAATGCCTGTACCAAGTCAGGACTATGACAGTTGTTGTCCATTCGTTTGATGTGTTTGAGTTTTTGATTTTGCCATTTGATTAGGGACTTTCCGTTTTGAATTTTCCTCGGAGTTCAGTAATCTTGTGATTTTACTTTTTGCTCTCAAATTCATGTTCACCGGTTGGACTCACAATCTCATATTTTATTTATAACATACACACACGTCTATCCAAATTACAAAAAGTAATAAAGAAACAATATTCAATGTTCGTTATGGTGTACCAAGAAACAATAACTGAACATGTGTAGCCCTTGTGTAGCCCATCCCAGTTAAGTTAAAATGAAGTTCGCATGCATACGAATTTAAATGAGTTGAATTATTGACTTGCATCATCGATGTTTTTGAGCTTATTTTGACATAAATGAAACAAAACCGACTATTAATAGAAATGTCATTTCACAATTCTGCTTTTATAAATGTTTGAAACATACAAAATTAATCTTTTGGTTGTTTGCTAACTACGTAGCTAATGTCCTTTAATGATTATGTGTATACTTTATTGATAAAAAATTACACTATAATCATGTTTATGCACTGTTTTAGATTTTGGAAGAAACAGTAAGACAGACACATGGTAAAGTTATACAAACCAGTGAAATGCATCGTTTAATCAGAATGACTCAAGTCATCGTAAGTGAAAATTAGAAAAACTGTTAAATAAATCTTTTTGATTCATTTCAAACCAAGCAATTAACATATTCGTAACCTTAATTTATTTGATTCTACAGTATCATAAAGGCAGCTATAGACATGGTTTGTAATATGGCTTCATAAAATTGCAGATTCGTTGGTGCCTTTTGATTCTCTAACTTTCGATATGTGTATGACATATAATCAATAAACATGACCGAATGAAAAGGTTTGAAATGAAACTACTAGTTTGTCAGGACAATGGAAAAACAAGATGATAACAGTTAGAAATTAGACACAAACTAAAAAATGAAATATAACAAACTTAAATACAGAAATGCATAGAAAAACAACATAAATTCCACTACAAAAACTTCCAAGTGGTGCGGTAGGGAAAGTTTCGTGTCCACATGTCGTGTTGTTTATGACACATCACAGTAAGGTGATACGACGCATTCCGTATAAACGTCATAAAAGAGGAGAATTGATCGGCATTGATGAGTCAAAAAAATGTCTGTAGTCAGCAGTGACCAATAATTTCCTTAACATGTAACCAAGATCTGTAACGTCTGTAATGATTTTGAAGAAATGTATTTAACTTTTCATTGAGAAATAGTTGGTCCAGTATTTGGATTACGAAACGTTTGACCTCGAGCGTAGCTAAAGACTATTCCAAGAAGGCATAGTGCACCTTGAAATCGATATTATACATTGATATGTCAACCATAAGTATAAAATAAGGAGATGTGGTATGATTGCCAATCGAACAACTATATCTAGTAGAGTCCATATGAAGCGGATTTGAATAACTATAAGTTACAGTACGGCTTTTCAAATGAGCAAAACCCATACCATATAGTCAGAAATAAAAGGCCCGATATGACAAAATTATGTAAAACAATTTAACGAAAAAAATACGTCAACCATATAGAATGTAGCAGACTAGTTTGTAGGTCCTCAACACTCCACTTGCCTTGAACAGTGGTGTATCAGCACAACATTGGGACAACTTTAAAAATCAGTAGGGAAAAGGCTTGACTACCCAGATCGCCAAAAAGCACAAATAACAAACAAGTTAAAGACAAAAGACACAAAGCACCGATCTAATAGTATTCGCAGTTACCGAAAGCTAGTCTTAAGCCAATAAAAACTAATAAATAAATCATTTTTTTAAGACTAAAGTATCAATCATTGCACATCCAACAGATTAAGTGTAAAGACGCCATAAACATTCTGAGCATAGCATGATCTTGTGCAATGCAAAAATATAAGTACGTAATATCGACAGGATATAGGACCATACGTTTTCATACATATAAAGCAAATAAATATTGATTTATGTTTTGATTTATCAAAACCAAAATCTATGTTAGTACCGATTAAAAGTATATGCAAAAGTCTTTCTATGATGATGATGTCATATAAAACAAAAAAGATGAATAATACTTGAATATACTTGAAGGCTTAGTTTTATTATTAAACACTTGTATATAGACATTATTTCAAAGAAAATTATTCATTTTATCGAAATCCTTTTTTACGTACATTCCACATATTCACATATCCATCCTAATTTTTTAATTTTTTTTTTCACTAGAAGTATTAATGTCATATGTATCATTTTTCTATAATGCAGCTTATCTATTTCTTAATTTTCAAAAAACGAAAAAATTACGTTTAATTCGCCTTAAGTTTATTTAGTTTTTTTAGCTAAAACATAATAAATATTTGAACTCCAGAACCTTTATTTTATATTTTACCTGCTAAAAGTTTCCCAAAAGGTCATGTTGTGCACATGAAAGTGGTAAAATGGTCCGTAAAGTGTGAACATACAACAGCGTAACGTATTGCCTGAGATATGTAAACTCCATACTAATTGAACAGAGGGTATGTGTTACTGCTGAAAAAAGGGAAGTTTTTCAAAGATTCTAGTTCGAAGTCGTACATCTGTGTCAATACCGGGGAAAATATCAACTAATGAAGCAGACTTTTTATTTTCGGTAGTATCCTTAATCTCAAGTCTATGATATATGAGATGTAAGAACTAATTGAAATGTGGGTCAATTAGTGACAAAACATGAATATATTTGAAATTTAAATTAAAGATGCTTTTCCTTGTTGTCTTTGAGTAGGTTCTGTACAAAAACAAGTCGGGCAGTTATGATGCACAATTAATGCATTTACCGACTGTCTGTTGCTATATTAATCCAACAAACTCAACGGACATGTTGGCGATAAAAAAACATTCAACATTTTAGTGATATAATTTTCGGTGTATTAAACATAAATAGTTGATTTCATGTTTCACATGCTGTCACAAAATATGTTAACTTTACTTAAGAAAAAGTAAATTGTATCTATGTTTTGCAATGAACACCAATAATTTTTTAAAACATCATTCACTTTCCATGTGAATCTTTCCTATGGATAATTGACAATAAAACCGGATGTATTCTCCGTTAAATCGTTAATTCGGTATATCTGCCAAATCATACATGATCAAGGGTTAGTTAATGTCCTTGCTTAAGCTACTGTATTGGTAATATTTCATCATGTTACATTTTGCCTACAATATAAACGAAGGAAATATAAGGCAAAGACAGTAATTAATACATTTTTTTATTTAAACAGGGATTGGCTTCACGTATTGCTTCAGAGATAAGGTATTGTCCACAAGAACAGACCAGAGAAGTCATCAAAAGAAAAATTAGAATGGCATCAAGTCATGACGATTCACATGTAAGCAATTCATATAAGCAAATGACATACCCTGCCACATGCACATGTGGCTGTCCAGAGTAAGGATCTCGTCAGTTGTTGTATATTCTTATTACTCAATTATTATTTTTAGTATTAGGTATTGATATAGTATTCATGTTTGTCTAGCTAGTCTTTTATCACTGTGCAATACTTCATGTGTCGCATGCACAACAATTTATTAAACTTATGACTCAGCCTGGCCGATAGCCTGATAACATTCCCGGTTGTAATTTTAAGTTTTCATGCGTATATTACTAGATATTTTTTGATATAAAAAAAAACTTTAATGGGATAAAACTTTACCTGAAAATTATTGTTTGCATTGATAATGATGACATAAATCAAATGTTTAATAGTATGACCAACATCGTGGATGTTCCAGCGTTTCAGTTCCCTTTTACAGCTGCAATTATGAGAGAAACTTGTGATTGTTTTGTTAACAGGGTTATTTACTGCTCAGGCCTCAACCAAGAAGCCAATGACATAGAATATTTCCACTTATATAAGGCATAAAACTGACAATTTTTTTAATTCAAAATTTTATAAATTAGATCTTGAAAAAAAAGTAAGTACTGCGATATTAAATGTTTGTTTACGACTTTTTTGTTTGACCTTTTACCGGCCTCATATCCTTTGATTTGTCTCATTCTTTATTGTTTACTTGGCTTCTATTTCAAACATCCCCTTGATAATGATAATACATGTTACTCATTATTCTAACCAATAAAAACACACAAATAGTTCAGAAAGTTTCCATGGAAAATAAATTAGGTCAACAATGGACGCTTTATATGTACTAATACTAAACAAAACTGTCTGGATAACATGAGTGCCCCTACCTAACGGAAAGACTGCATTACTTAAATGAAAGTTAACATATACGTAACACACATTGAGATTGTTTATAACACACTATTATGCACTTGAAATCCAAAAATCAGCCCCCTTTTACAGGCAAAAGGAAGAAAATGTGGACAACTATTTGATTTCCGATTGACGTAGTTACGGATATCATTTTATGGATCGATTCGTCAGTACGCCCTTTCAATGAGTGGAGGGGAATAGATTGTACATATTGGGTTTATTACAACAAACCATATACCTTGTTGTTATCTGTTTATTTATAGGTGTTATTATTAAAGTCCTTTGTCGGACATTGCATCATATTTGTGGTAGAATTCGCCCTTTTGATTGAAGTAAACAGCAAACAGGGGTAGTTCCTCACACAAATAAAGAATATTGATAGTCGTATGACTTCCTAAACCCTGGAATGCAAGGTTTCATCTACATTAATGGCATTTAAATTGAGTCCATATATCAATTGATGGATAGTTGAATATCAAACTCGACGACAGGCAGATAACTCCATGGTCAAATAAAATGACAAATAAAACAAAAACATTCAACATTTTCCATTTTTTATGTCCTTAAACTTTTTAAAGATTTAGCAAAATATATTTTAGTGTGCATTGAACAAATGTTCCTCCATTTTTGATTGATCCAATTATCAAATTCATTCATGATTCCCTCATGCAAATTTGAAAACAATGACTGAGCAAGCATCGACAAAAAAGTAATGATTCGCGGATGGTCTGACAGAAGAGTCAAAAACATACCTTCAGCAATTAGTTGTATGAGATTAAATAAAACTGACAAATTTTCCTTGTGCACTTTATTATTTCTTTATAGGATGATTGTTCAGATATGGTTATGGATTTTCTGAACCCTTTGAATATGGAAAATGGTCAAGGGAAGTTTGTTGAACTGAGCTCAACTACTTTACAACTAGGTGACAGGGTACGTCGGGGACCTGATTGGTCGTTTGGTGATCAAGATCGTAATCTTCCTGGAACTGTTGTTGGGCAAGACGAAAATTGTAAGTATGAAAAAGTTTTTAAATTCCGATATCATTCATCAATGATCAATACTATTCTTCATGTTGACATGAAATTTCAATGATGATATGATCATTTTCTCTAAATTTACTGTTTACAAAATGTTGAATTTCGAAACACTAAGGTATCTCTACCACTTCTCTATTCATATTTAGACTTTTTGTTCACTTTTAATAAATGCGTTCATGCCTCGACACATTAAAATAACGCATTATTTTAAAAGCCTCTTGTGACAGGGGGTCTCGGAGGCCGAGTGGTCTACGTAGCTTATCTTCTGTATCACTAGCCTGGCAGCACTGTGGTTGTGAGTTGAACCCCGCACGGATCAGGTGAGTTCGATTTCAATCTTAATTGACTTGGATTACCAGTTTTCCTGCCGAAGGTCGGTTGTTCTATCTGGCACTCCGGCTTCCTCCGCCAATAAAAACTGCTCGCTATGATATAGCCAATAGTACTGAAAGTGTCGTTAACCACCAACAATTAATCAATCAAGCATCTTTTGACAAGACCAAGATCACCGATTCAAAATCCCGGATAAGGTTTTTAATAAATGATGAATGACATCATCTCATATTATAAGATGAGTACCTTGTTGGCACATTTGTTTATGTTGTCTTACATCGATTCTCGAATTTTCCTTTTTCAGAATTTGTTAATCTTGGCAAATTTGAAATAATTTTTTTTCTTACCAAAATGGATACATATCTTTCATTAAAGGTATTATATGGGTAGAATGGGATCATGGCCAAACAAATGTATACGCATATGATGAACAAAGACACATTTATAAAATTATCAAAGTGAATGAACCTAGGATACTTGTTGATGAGATGATCGCTGTTGGATGTAGAGTTGTAAGAGGTAATTTGGAAAATATGTGTACATCAACTTTATCTTAGAACTTTATAATTGGAAATTGGCAAAAATGATATGGCTTTATTTCTTTATTTCTAATTTATTTGGTTTTTTTTTTTGTTTTTTTTTTTTTTTGCGTTCCTGGTGAAAGCCCAGAAAGCGCATCGGACGAACGAAATTTTTATAACTTTTTTATTTCATATTGTATATTTATTCGTGGCACAAAAGCTCTATAAACAATACACAAAAATGAACGGTAATCAAGGTCATTAAACACACCTCAGTAGTATCAGCTCAACAATAAGCCAAAACTGTAAACAAAAAAAAAGAGCACACACCTCAAGCACGGGGAAAACTGTACATTTCTTTAAAACTTACTGTTTGGACAAATTTTAAAAGAAAAGTACCAAAATGGCAGGAAATTACATTTGTGTCATTGTTCTGGTATTAACATGATATAGTTCTTAATGTTTAAACATAGAAAAATCTAAATAGGTTCATTAATTTGAGCAAATAGTTCTTTTAATATGTTACACGTAGCAAGTAAATCATACAAAAACAAAATTAATACACGTTAAGCATGTCATCTTACAACAGTTACTGTAAGTTTTAAACAATATATTCTATTTGAGACAATATTTAATAGGACAAGATTGGAGGTTTGGAGATACTGATGGTGGACCAGGTAGTATAGGAACTGTTTTAGATGTAAGAAGAGATGGAAAAGTTGTGGTTAGTATAACCTTTAAAACCATGAACATTCTACTTGTACTCACAAAAATATATCAAACGTTATAAAAAGTTACCAAACCTGGAATTCATTACTTCGCAGCAAAACCACATCTTTCAACATGCATGTTTCAATTGCCTTGCATAATGAATATTTGAAAACATCATTATTTTATATCATTTAAGGTTAGATGGGACTGTAAACGAACAGGCCTGTATAAAATGAGGCATAAAGGGCGATTCGAAATTCGGTTGAAGTAAGTATTTATATTACACATATGTCAGTCAAGAAAAAACCTGTGAAATACACAAACTTGGACAAATGTTTCAAATCTATAAACGCATAATTAATATTACTTGAAGTCTTAAATGAATATAAAAAAATCGACAGGTTGTATGTATTCCTATGGGAAACAATTGCGCCCCTTTATTATCAAACTGTTGCGAATCACAGTTTATATCCAAACTCAGAAAGACCCGTCTAAATTGTATTTAACTGATAAATTCAACAACAATTGTCGCTATCTTGATGATATTTTTTTGTTGAATAATCATGAATTTTCTAAATAAACTGCTGAAATTTACCCATAGGAACTTACTCTACATAAATCAAATATTAACGGTAATAACTGTCCTTTCCTAGATTTAGATATTTCAGTTTTACACGGACAACTCTACACAAAAATTTATGACGAAAAGGGAGGATTTTTCTTCCCCTATTGTTAATTTTCCCTTTTTGGATGATGATGTTCCTTTGACACCATCTTACGGTGTTTATATATCACAGCTCGTGGTTGAACTGACGTTTTAGATTTCAGTGAACCTAATCTATATATGTATTACTGGGAAATTATTAAATCAGGGATTTCGTTACATCAAATTACATTTTTGTACTCAAACCCTTTACTAAATTCTACCATAGATTTGGTTTGGAAGTTTAGCTGTATCTGTAGAAAATTATTTCAAACTGGATAGCACATCGTAATTTTGACGGAGATGTTGTTTACCCAGTCCGGAAATTTAGATACGATCCGAAATTAAGAAAAGTACAGTTTTCCCCGTGCTTGAGGTGTATGAACTTTTTTTTGTTTACAGTTTTTGGCTTATTGTTGAGCTGATACTACTGAGGTGTGTTTAATGACCTTGATTACCGTTTATTTTTGTATATTCATGTAAACTTATAGATCTTCTAATTAAACTTATTCTTAAAGGTTAACTTTTCAACACTGTTGTTAGATCTTTAAATACTGTTTATATTGGTATATGTATTGATTTTGTTATCAGTATATTAAATCCAAACTTATATTATTGTTATATACATATACATATACACATTCACGGTATTTGTACATCGGTAGCTAAGTGAAATAAATTTTTTATTAGTTTCGCTTTGTTTCTTCTATTTTAGGAGGGTTTAATAGAGTGTGTTTTTTTTCTTACTCGTTTATTTCTTTAAATACTTATTGGACTGTTTGAGGACAAAGACGATGCATAATTAGGATCCATGGTTTCTCTTAAATTTATTACCTCAGAAACATTGCATTATCGTATAAGTGAGATTTACATTGTTCGTCAAATAAAAGCGTAAAGTTGGTCTGATAACTTTGACGATTAAAACTCAATTGAATATGCAAATTAATAATATGGAAGCTAGCTGAGCCTAAATTTTACGGTCGAACCTAATAATGTGAAGGTTATTTTTGAGTTCGCAGAGTTTACACGTATCTAATTCTATAGCACAGCTATACATGTATTTGTATTTATTTCTAAATAATATCAAATTACATCAAATAATATCTTATCGTTACAAAGAGATGACAAGACCAAAACTAGTCGACAAACCAAGACCAGAACGTACAGACGTCGATCAATGTCTGACGAGGAAGATGAATATGTATCTGATGCAACCACTACTACATCTACAAAACACGCTAGTGACTACGTCATTCCTATTTATTCAGATTCAACAGGTACTCTTCTCTCTTGGTAGAATTTACTTTATAAATTCTTTAATTTATTAACAATTTTATATGTAATCAATAGAATATATTAGCTCAATCAGTATGATGATGATTCAAAAAGAAAATGTGTTATTTTGTTTGGTTTATTTTTACATATACTTAACCAATAATAAATAATAAAAACTTGAACCAATGCTCTTTTAACACAGTAAGCGCTATTTGGGAGTATAAAGACGGTTCTGATTGGAAGGAGTATCCTGATGATATAAATGTAAAAATAGAAAGGGCTTACCAGAGAAAACAAAGGAAAACCATTATCGAAATGGATCGTACTACGTAAGTAAATATAACGTTATATTTCAAGCTGTTGCTAGCATGGTTTAGTGAAAAATATGTTTATACATCATGTACGTTGTGATGTAATACTTTAGCCAGGATTATTTAACTATCAAGGGCATAAAAAAAACAACTATGATTCAATATTACAGCCCAACTTTCAAAGGGCTCATAACAAAATTTGTTAATTCAGTAGTAGCATTATGAAGCTTTACACAGTGTACACCAATGAGTAAGTATAAAACAGATTTTGCAATAATTTAAACACGATGCAATAATATATTCTGGATTGTTCTCCTTATTTGGATATTCACATGACTTTCATTACAGGTTTGAAGTACATTTTTCTGAAATGGAACAGGAAAACCCCAGAAACAAGACAAAAGTAACAGTAAGAAGAAGAGGTCAGTTTGAAATTACAAGTTATACCATAATGGTAAACGATTAATGGTTTATATATCACCTAGTCTGTCATTTTAATGAGGCAAGAAAATAACTTTTTTCCATGATAAATTTTATTTATTATTATCTTTATATTCTAATTGAAAGTAATGAAGATGATTGTTCATTTGTATGATCAGACAATTTAACACTTTTCACATAAAGAATGTCACAATAAATCTACAAATAATCAATGTCTAAACCATAAAATATCTGAATGAATGCTATGTTTATTTCAGATTAATGATAGCTGATGGAAATTTTCAGTGTTGACACTAGTCTTTTGGATAAAGACAACCTAGAGGCAGTTAATCTTGGAACTTTAGTGTTTATCGTATCTGTCTCGTCCATGTGTCTGTTCTTTGGGCAAACAAAATATACTAACATGAAGATCACCTCACTCAATTCAATAATATCAGCACAGTGGGATTAATTAAGGAAGAGCCAAAAAAAGTGTGTTTAAACAATTTTGACCAACGATATATCAGTTTGATACATATAGTTCAAACCACCTTATCCTCTTTCATCAGAATTATTAAGTCATTAAAAATTTTTTTAAAAAGAAACAGATACTATAGTAAAATGAAAGTGTTGACCAGGTCTAGTGATATATCCGACTTTCTGATACCCAATACTTTGGCCATATATTTAACAAGGTCTGTTTTGGCTTCTCCGTCCACTGCTGGGGCAGATATTTGAACGCAGGGTCGGATCCAGGATTTAAGGTTAGGGGGGCGCAAACTTAAATTTTCGCGGAGTGGAGCAATGTTAAAATTTCTTTGAGGTAAAATTAACGAAATATTCTTTATTAAACTGATGACAACACATGCCCTGCAAATTTTAGGGTGTCGCACGCCCGCCACGCTCCAGCCTGAATCCCCCCGGAACGCCTACACCGTCGTCTTCATAACCTTCAAAATAGCATGTCATGTTAATGTAAGTTAGTTCTTAACTATCAGTAACGGCGTCCTTTAACTTGGTTTTCTGAAACACAGTAACTAATTTTGCATGATACGGAATTAATTTCTTGGTATAAATAGGTTTTAAAACATGTTTATCCCCGCCTCATTTTTGCGCCTATCCCAAGTCAGAAGCCTTTGGCCTTTGTTAGTCTTGTATGATTTTTAATTTTAGTTTCTTTTATATATTTCGGAGTTTAGTATGACGTCCATTATTACTGAACTAGTACATATTTTTGTTTATGGGCCAGCTGTAGCCTCGGGGTGCGGGATTTTCTCGCTGTATTGAAGACCCATTGGTGGCCTTCGGCTGTTTTCTGCTCTTTGGTCGGGTTGTTGTCTCTTTGACACATTCCCCATTTCCATACTCAATTTTATTTGAATCAGGTAAGTTTAGTGAAATTTGATTAAGAAAAGAAAAATAAATTATGTTTACCTGTGATAAAATTGTCTTTAGCACCAGGTTTGGCTAAAATTTTGATTGATACAGATTTGCCAGGCTTCATAATCACAGGCCCTTCGTCTGTAGGTTGTACATCTGCTTTCTGAAATGAAATGTCAAGCACATATAAAAAAAACATTAGAAATGTACAAACAAATGCCTGAATTCCAACAAAAATCTATTTACAAAAAGTCATGTACTTTAAATAAGAAAAAATAAGTATTTGATATTATGTGCCATTAGAAAAGAGACATGAAACTGATACAAGGGAAATATTACAGTGTAAAATATTTATTGCTTTAGATTGCTTTAGAGCATCTTTTTGTATTCTAACTTATACATACATTATCAATTGTTTCATATTGTTGCTGCTGTACACCTTTATACAAATACATGCAGCATATTTATGTTTTGAATAAGGCGATGGCAATGTAATTATGATACAATGTGATGAAAGAAACTATTTGATACAATCCAATAGTAAATAAAATGTGTTTAAATGAAACGGTTTATTACGTGTAGTTGCTAATTTATACATTTTTATTTGAATATCGTTGTTTTGCGTGTGAAAATTTTATGCTTAGCACATGTTTTATTAGGAAACTCGATAGGAAGTATAACGAGTGTAAGCATGCCTTTGAAAATAATATATCCTTTCTCGGCTTATTCCTACTGTATGAATACGTGATGGTCTATTGAACGTTACTGGTTATACTTGTTCTATCGATTCTACGTGGAGCAATAGAACACCAGATAATTACGTAAAACTTAAACTCGTTCGGCAATGCGATATCATGAGAAGGGATTCTAAAGCACAATAAAGCAATGTCTAGTCACTTATAGATAATGAATTTTCTGACTGTAAAAAAAACCCACCGCAAACGAATATGTAGACGATCTACAAAACGGAAAAAAGACAAATGTTATCTTTATATCATTGAATAACGAAAACATCAAATTCCTCATTCACAATTCACAATTCACAACATTTAATAGTTATATTTCCCAAATACACCAAGAAGCCGCTAGCATTTTGTGTCAATTCGTTCCATGGGAGACCGCATCAGTTGTGTCGTGATAGCGTGCTTGCCTCGAATGCGAAAGGTCGTGTGTTCAAACCCCGGCCTGGTAAAATCAGGAAATTGATAGTTGCTGCTTCTCTGCCAAACACGAAGCATTAAGAAGTAGAGACAAAGACTAGTCTGCTCAAAGTCAAATAATGTGTCTGGGTAGGTTGGCGTGTTTTCTTGTGGACAGTTACCTGTGAATAAGCACGTTTAAAATCCGCTTTAGCTAGTATCGGTACATAGCAGGATTCATATCAATTTATAACATTCGTGTTCTAATATCTTACTTGCCACTGGGCAATAAACACCAATCTATCCATTCATCCATTTATTCAAATAGTTAAAATGATGCACATGAAATAGTTTATTTTCTATTTTTGATTGTTTCCCATGGCGGCGTATTCACAAAATCGATGTATGAAAAAAAGGGTATGTGAGGTAAGCGCATATGAGACAATATTTAACCAAACAACCAATAAAGATAAAAATAGACATATAGCTATATGGCATTCATTGACGAACACGACGCAGATTCCATATGAAAAGCTCTTTTTCTTGAGAATGCTATTAGCCTCGAGGTATCGTGATGGTTTCGATTCATGCTTGTGTCAAACCAAACAACTTCAACCTGGTATTTGTTACGTCTGTGCAAATCAAACGGCATTTAGAAATGAAATGAAATTCGTCCTAAATGATATAGTAGAATTATAAAATAAGTAGATGTGGAATGATTGCCAAAGAGACTGCTATTCACCAGAGATCAAATGACGTAGATGATAGTAACTATAGGTCAACGTACGACCTTCAACAATGAGCTAAACTCGCATATCAAGCTATAAAAAGCCCGACATAACAAAATGTAAAACATTTCAAATGAGAAAACCAACGACCTGATTTATCTACAAAACAACACTTACAAAATAAAATTTGATTTACAGTTACAAACGACAACCACTGAATTACACACTCCTGACACATACAGAATGCGGCGGGGTTAAACATGTAAGCGGGTGCCCAACCCTCCCCTAAACCTTTGGCACTGGTTCAAAAGAACAACATAAGATCAAACTGTACAATACAAAAAACGAAATCCCATATTATGACAAATAGCATAGAAAGATTTCCCATGCATTGGATTCAGTTGAGACGGTCAAGTAATTGATACAAATTCCATGATCTGAACCGAAAATCTTGAACATTTTGAACTTTTGGTCTCGAGCATATCGGGTTAAGGTTATGCTAGAAACGAATGTCGTGGGCCCTGAAATGTTTATGCTTAATCGCAAAGCACAAATAGTCAGCTACCGGCCTGAGTCACTCACAAAACTCCTGATCTTTGGCAGATATATACGAACACGTTCAATTTTATAGCGTTTATTACATTTTTTTACAATTTTACATTTATTATTTAATGTTTATCCCCAAAACGTACAAAATTATAAGAAAAAATGCATTTAAAGGGTGTGTTAAATAAGAATCTAAACCGTGTAATTTGCGGAACCTTATTTTTTGTGAGTTGTATGCAAACAAATCATTTTTGGGTTTAATTCATTGATTGAACAAAGCAGGTGTCTTAAGAAGTGGTAGTAAAATGTCTTTCGACAGTTCAAATAATTTTTTGCAGTGAGGGCTCTTTATATGACATGATACGATATATGCCGCGTACAACATGCCAATGCAGAGTATTCTGAAGGCGATTTTAATGATGAATTAACTAGACTTGTAATGATTTTCTACCTTTTCAAATGCTTTTCCTTTCTTTGACTTGTCTGTTTACATCGGCATGCACAATGTGATACAGTTGTTACTCGAAAGATTGATTTGTGTAAAGATTGCATATACATTTGTACTTTCACTTTCCTTTTTAATCAATATAGGTCACATTAATCTGGTTCAATCTCTGACGGTATGTAAAATTTAAAACAGTACAAGTAGAAAAAACGGTAAAACTTATTACCGAAAAGCAAAACTTCGAAAAGTATAAAACTACTTGCAAATTTAAAGTAATAAAGTAAAACAAAAATACTGAACTCCAAGGCAAATTCGAAAAGGGGAAAATCCATTATGACTTACAAAATCAAACGCTATCTATGAACGGAACAAGTGAAAAACAATTGGCATATTCCTGACTTGGTACAGGCATTTTCCGAAGAATATTTATGAAAATTATGCAAATTTAAAGTAATAACTGTGTTAAGTTTACTTCAATTCTTTTTAATTGAGTTAAATAGTGCAACATGGATATGAAAAATTCTCAATTGTGAAACTAAAAGCATCTCTTTTGTCGTACACTTTTGTTCTAAACTGACCCTCATTGTCAATATTTAGGTGTAAGTCAAGATATGAAGCACAGCACACTTAACTGTATCTGTTGTATCCTATATTTAAAACATTGTTGTGACGTCATTCTTGTGTTGTCCCCGTTCTTTGGTTTAGTGATTGGACTATCATTTACCTGAAAGAAACCATCATGTTACCTTTAACTGTCCAATATTTTAAAGAATAATTTCTTCTTAAAGATATTGGATAGCTGAAGGTAGCATGATTGTTCTTACAAGTAAATGATAATTCAAGGACTGAAAAAAACCATCAATTCACACAATTTTTTTCTTTATTTTGAAAACAATTTACAACGAAAGGGCAAATGACAATTACACAAAAATATTTTTTTATTAAGGTCACCTTCAAATACAATAATTTCGTCACTCATTAAGACAGTCTTGAAAAAAACTTTCAAATTGATTTTTACACTAACAGGGTCAATACTTATTTCACAGCCATTCATGTTTTTAGTTTTCCCCTGTAGCACCAATTTAGTTTACAATGTACGTTGTAAGTTTTGTTTTTGGTGTTTTAAGGTATTTCTTTTTGCATAAGATTTTGACATCTTCGTCCGTCTTTGGCTATAAAAATCGTCCTCTGTGTTGTTCTCATTCTTCCTAACATTTTTTTCAGCTACAATGAAAATGAAAAAAATCAAATAATGCTTCTAACGCTTGATAGATCATGCTGCAATACAAGGACCACAAGTAAAATAATTTTATTATCATAATTAGGAGAAAATCGTTTAATATCTGAAATAGATGTTTACTAAGTCTTTATGTGCAAGCCCCAGATTGTTCCTTGGACAAAATATCTAATAAAGAATTTGATTAACAACCTTAAAACCTCACCCTGTGTTCAAAAGTGCAAATCGAGAATTTGCCTCATGAACTAGGGGGTTACAACAGTTTTTTATAATTTTCAGGTGTCGGCGTTGATTTGCAAGTTCATTGTTAAAAAAAGTCTGATATTTTTGCCTGTAGAGGAATATATTGCAAAATTTCGCTTGACGATGAATATAAGAAACAGAAAAGTGGAACATGTTACCGCAGGTTTAAGAAATCAATCGTGTGTCCGATTCGCACTTTATTCTTAGTGATCTTTTTTTTTCTTTTTTTCTTTTTTTTTACTGAAACCGATGAAGTCTCTTGAATTGAGACAAATGAGGTGCTAGATTTAATCATATGTTTGTTAAATAAGTTTTTAGATAGTTTGTAATTGTGTTATCTAAATTTGAACATAAAAACCTGTCCTGCTTTGCATTGATTGAAAAGGGGGGAGTTATTAATACAGGTATTTTTACTACATGTATATATATAACGTCAAAATACAAATTAAATGTGTTTCTTTCCAATGTATTTATGAACAGGTTCAAACACTTCATTTTAGTTTAGATCTCAAAAGTGAAATTGATTGAATATAATGATTATACATTAAGCACAGAAATAAGGATGTGCACTAACAATGCTTTGTTTTGAAAGAGAAAAAGAAAGCATTATTTGCAAAGAGAAATCGAGAGACAAAAACATATTTAGGTACATGAAAAAACCACATTGGACAGCAATACGCAAATAAATAAAAACAAGAGCGACACGAACATTGCAGAAAAACCGGGAAAAAGGAGACGGGAGGTATTCAAAAGGTCCTGTTTTGGTAAACAATAACTGTCACTTACAAGACAACCGCCGAGTCAAGGTCAATTTCGGTGGACAAGGAAGGAAAGAAGGGACCTCCGTCATACGGAGAAATTATGAATACATTTTTTTTATCTCCGGATATTTCATGGCGATGAATTTAGATATTATAACTATATCAATTCATTTTTACAAATAAAAGATATAATATTTGGATCATAATTCTCTTAACAATCATTAAAATAATATAAGAGGGGAAAATTCCCATGAGCAACAAATGAATTTAAATTGCTTACACGCTTGTTATCTCTTCATTTGTGCCCATTCATTATATTTTATAGTGTTGTATTTGAAATAAAATCGACTGTGGTGCACTCGATATGGTGTAACCTTTTTCTGGAACGTGAGCCGGTCTTCAAGCTTCATGTGTTTTTCATTTTTTTCTCTCATTCAACTAATAAGAAATAAAACCCCTGAAGGAATAGGG